ATGATTTCCATTCTTTTGCATTTGCTGAGGAGTGATTTGCTTCCAATTATGTGGTCAGTTTTAGAGTAGGTGTGACGTGGTGCTGAGAAGAATGTATATTCTGTGGATCTGTGGTGGAGAGTTCTGTAGATGTCTATTAGGTTTCTTGTTCCAGATTTGAGTTCAAGTCCTGGATATCCTTGTTAGTTTTCCTTCTCGTTGATCTGTCTAATATTGACAGTGGAATGTTAAAGTCTCCTACTGTTATTGTGTGGGAGTCTAAGTCTCTTTGTAGGGTGTTAAGAACTTGCTTTATAGGCCAGGCGCAGTGGCTCATGCCTATAATCCCAGCACTTTGGGAGGCCGAGGTGGGTGGATCACGAGGTCAAGAGATCGAGACCATCCTGGTCAACAAGGTGAAACCCCGTCTCTGCTAAAAATACAAAAATTAGCTGGGCATGGTGGTGCACGCCTATAGTCCCAGCTACTCAGGAGGCTGAGGCAGGAGAATTGCTTGAAACCAGAAGGCAGAAGTTGCAGTGAGCGAGATCGTGCCATTGCACTCCCGTCTGGGTAACAACAGCGAAACTCCATCTCAAAAAAAAAAAAAAAAAAAAAAAAGAACTTGCTTTATGTATCTGAGTGCACCTGTATTGGGTCTGTATATATTTAGGATTGTTAGCTCTTCTTGTTGCATTGATCCTTTTACCATTAAGTAATGCCTTTGTCTCTTTCAATTTTTGTTGGTTTAAAGTCTGTTTTATCAGAGACTAGGATTGGAACTCCTGCTTTTTTTTTTTCTCTCTCCATTTGCTTGGTAAATCTTCCTCCATCCCTTTATTTTGATCCTGTGTGTATCCTTGTATGTGAGATGGGTTTCCTGGATACAGCACACTGATGGGTTTTGACTTTTTATTCAGTTTGCTATTGTGTGTCTTTTGATTGGGGCATTTAGCCGATTTACATTTAAGATTAATATTGTTATGTGTGAATTTGATCATGCCATTTTGATGCTAGCTGGTTGTTTTGCCCATTATTTGACATAGTTTCTTTATTGTGTCAATGCGCTTTACCATTTGGTACGTTTTTGGAGTGGCTGGTACTGGTTGTTCCTTTCTATGATTAGTGCTTCTTTCAGGAGCTCTTGTAAGGCAGGCCTGGTGGTGATGAAATCTGTGAGCAATTGCTTGTTCATAAAGGATTTTATTTCTCCTTCACTTATGAAGCTTAGTTCGGCTGGATATAAAATTCTAGCCAAAGTTCTTTTCTTTATGAATGTTGAATATTGGCCCCCACTAGGTTGCAAGTTCTTTTCTTTATGGATGTTGAATATTGGCCCCTACTCTCTTCTGGCTTGTAGGGTTTCTGCCGAAAGATCCTCTGTGAGTCTGATACCTCTGTGGATAACCCAACCTTTCTCTCTGGCTGCCCTTAGCATTTTTTCCTTCATTTCAACCCTGGTGAATCTGACGCTTATGTGCCTTGGGGTTGGTTTTCTTCAGGAATATCTTTGTGGTGTTCTCTGTATTTCCTGGACTTGAATATTGGGCTTCCTTGCTAGGGTGGGGAAGTTCTCCTGGATAATATCCTTAAGAGTATTTTCCAGCTTGGATTAATTCTCTCTGTCACAGTCAGGCATACCTGTTAAACACAGACTAGGTCTTTTCACATAATCCTGTATTTCTTGGAGGCTTTGTTCATTTCTTTTTACTCTTTTTTCTCTAATCTTGCCTTCTCATTTTAGTTCATTGAGTTGATCTTCCATCTCGGATATCCTTTCTTCTGCTTCGTTGATTTGGCTATTGAAACTTGGGTATGTTTCACGAAGTTCTTGTGTTGTGTTTTCAGCTCCATCAGTTCATTTATATTCTTCTCTAGGCTGTTTATTCTCATTAGCATTTCATCAAACCTTTTTTCAAGGTTCTTAGTTTCTTTGCATTGGGTTAGAACATGTTGTTTTAGCTCAGAGAAGTTTGTTACTACCCACGTTCAGAAGCCTGTTTCTGTCAATTCATCAGACTTATTCTCCATCCAGCCTTGTTCCCTTGCTGGTGAGGAGTTGTGATCCCTTGGAGGAGAGGCCTTCTGGTTTTGGGTGTTTTCATCCTTTTTGTGCTGGTTTCGTCCCATCTTTGTGGATTTGTCTACCTGTGGTCTTTGTAGTTGGTGACTTTCAGATGGGACTTCTGAATGGATGTTCTGTTTGTTGATGATGAACTTCTTTCTGTTTTTCAGTTTTCATTTCTAATAGTCAGGTCCTTCTGCTGTAGGACTGCTGGAGGTCCACTCCAGACTCTGCTTACCTGGGCATTATCTGCAGTGGCTGCAGAGCAGTAAGGGTTGCTGCCAGTTTCTTCTTCTGTTATCTTTGTCTTGGAAGGATACCTGCCAGATATCAGTCTGAGCTATTCTTTATGAGGTGTCTCTTTGGATATACAGGGGTCAGGGAGCTGCTTGAGCAGTTTCTCCCTTATAGGAACTCAAATGCTGAGCTGTGAGCTTCATTGTTCAGTTCAGAGCTGCTGGGCAGGTATATTTCAGTCTGCTGCAGTGGAACTCATAACTGCGTTTTCCCCCAGGTGTTCTATCCTGGGAAGGTGAGGCTTTATTTGTAAGTTCCTGACATGCTGCTGCCTTTTTTCAGAGATGCCTTGCCCAGCGAGGAGGTAGTCTACTCACAGTCTGCCAGCAGAGGCGTTGCTGAGTTGCCATGGGCTCTGCCCAGCTGCTGTGTGATCTTCTTTGCAGTTTTGTTTATGGAGGTTTCGTTAGAAATGCCTCGGTAATGGCCATCTGCCTCAGTAATGGCAGACTGCCTCGGTAATGGCAGACTGCCTCAGTAATGATGCCCTTGCCCCCACAGAGCTGGACTGTCCCAGGTCCAGATGTGCTTGCTATGAAACTCTCAATCCAGAGTGTTTCAGATTGCTGGTCTTTGTGGGGGTGTAACCCCCCCCAAGCCAGATTACCTGGCTCCCTGTTTCGCCCCCTTTTTTTCAGTTGAGTGGGCAACTTTGTCTCCCAGGCATTCCAGACGCCAGTTGAAATGACGTGCAGATTTGTTTGAGTTTTTGTGTAGAGATCTGCTGCACCGGCTGTAACGGCTGTGCTGGCTACTTGTGGTGCTTTTCTGTCCAGGAATCTCCTGGTCTGTGGGCAGTAAACATTTGTTTGGAAATGCGGTGATCACTCACCCTGTGTTCTCACTGGGAGCTGCACTTCAGAGTTGTTCCTATTTGGCCATCTTGGATCATCCTCTGGTGGGTTTAATTATTAAAGGCTTCGGAGTTTGTCTTAAGGTGTATATAAGGAAAACAAATTGAGGGAAAGGCCATTTTTTTCTAATGTGACAATATGAACAATATTTTTTTTCTACCTATATCATATCTGATGGAAGCTAATGTAGAAATAAGCAATTTGAAAATTCAAAAAATCCTCACACATGTAAAGACATACATACATATATACATAGGATAGTCATTGCATCATTTTTGTAGTTACAATACCAGAAGCAGTTTTCATAATGTGGAATTATCAAGATAAAATATAGCCCATACTCTGAAATTTATTCCGCAATTAAAAAGAATGAGATGTGTGTACTGACAGAGTATAATAATCTCTAAGATATTTAAAGAAAGAAAAATACATGCCTACATGTACATATAGACAGAGAATGTCTCAGGTCACCAAAGAAACTTAATAGATGTTGCTTCTGGGGAGATGCACTGAGGATTGGGGAATAAGAGAAAGATTTATTTGTGGTTCCTTTCACTTGTCCCACAGTCTCAGCTGCTATCTAATTGCAGAGGCAGGAGAGTTTCTTTTCATACCCTAACGTTGCCTTATGAGGCATTTCTATCCAACAAAGATGACTGGTTTGGGTTTATCCTCCCCAGCTAAGTGTCACCATGAAGTCACCTTCTGAGTTCTCTGGTTGGCCACAGTTGAAATAAAACGTCCAATTGAGTATCACACACATGCTTTGTTTGAAATAAGTTTCAGTGTGGTCAGGCACGGTGGCTCACGCCTGTAATCCCAGCACTTACAGAGGCCGAGGCAGGTGGATCGCCTGAGGTCAGGAGTTTGAGATCAGCTTGGCCAACATGGCAAAACCCTGTCTCTACTAAAAATACAAAAATTAGCAGGGCATGCCTGTAATCCCAGCTACTTGGGAGGCTGAGGCAGGAGGATCGCTTGAACCTGGGAGGCGGATGTTGCAGTGAGCTGAGATATGCTACTGCACTCCAGCCTGGGTAACAGAGCGAGACTCCATCTAAAAAAAAAAATTTTTTTTTTTTTCAGTGTGTAATAGAATGGCACAATGAAACTGAAGTAGAGGTGATGGAATCATGTTCTAAGTGAAGGAAAATGGCCTTGTTATGTTGTAGTATGATAAACAATGCTAACTCCTTAAATACTTATTTCATGTCATCTTTGTTATGATTTTATCCCGTAACAATTTTAATTATGATTTTAGCCTTGACACAATTCACCTGACAAGAGTTTTGTCGGGAATGAACTGAGTTGTCTTTATAATGGGACAGGAGAATGTATTTGTGTGTGTGTGTGTATATATATATATATATATATATATATATATATATATAACAGGAGAATGTATTTGTGTGTGTGTGTGTGTGTATATATATATATATATATATATATATGTATGTATTTTACTGTGTGCATGAATTACTTTTTCAAAAAAAAGAAAGAAGAGGGATGAAAATCCAGGAGACTTCCAAACAGTTAAAAAGACTCCAGATCAAATGAGAGGCAATTGTGAATTAAAGGACTGTTACTCAGTTGCCCCAAAGTGGCTGATACTTGGGGCAGAGCTCAGGATGAATCCAAGAGCTGGGAAATGGAAATGACATGAGACTGTGTGAGGCAGTGTGGACACCTCGCACCTGCTGGGCACAGCGCAGGCTAGAAAACCCATCATGCTGAAATGCTGTTGAACTAATCTTCAGAAGCCACACAGGTATGCATCTGAACACACCAAAAATCAAGACCAGAAATGCAAAATGAAACAAATTTATTTTCTGCAATAACTTCTGTAAATTACAAAGACAAAATACTAAACTACAGCATATAACTTTTCAATATTTAACCAGAGTACTTGTAATAAATACGCATCCGGAAACAAGATAAAAGGCTACACCTTGTCAGGCATCCTACAAAAATGTCTCAAGTTTTATATACTCTGCAGCATTTCTGTGCGGGGGTGGGGGCGGGGGCAGAAGGGGTTGTTTTGTATTTTCTGAAGTGCTGTGACAAAAAGTCCTTTCACATTTCTTTGGAGCATTTTTGAAATTGCTTAACTATAATTAAACAACTTAAGAAAAGTAACACCGAGCTTTAAAGCCAATTTTGCTTTGCTGTCATTGGTACTCATCCAATACAGATCAACATATCATCCAGTACAGCCAAGTACCCTCTAAGCCCAGGCAGCCCTGTGGGATGTGGGCCCTTGTCAGAGCAGGCCCTACTTTCAGTTAAATACTTTGGAGAGCTGGATTCTGTCTCTCCTTCAACAAGATTAATGTCACAAAGGAAGCTGCAAGCATGTTAGAAACATTTTGAAGCTGAAAGGAAAGTGAACAGAAATTTGTTTTCAAGACCTCTGCTAGGCACCATAATATTACCATATCAGGGTTTTTAGCTTCGAAATTGAAAAACAGATTGGTACTAACAGCCCTTCCAGAGATCATTTTGAGCACGGGTAGAGTCAGGACATTCAAAAACATTGAACGGGTAAAAAGAGAATTTGCTAGATTCAGAAATGCACTACAATTCTGGAGAGCTGAAGGCTGAAAGTTCTAGGAGTGTTGGTGGCAGCTTATATTAAGTCTGGCATACATAACTACCTTTTGCTATAGCTGAAAACTTTTGAGGAAAAAGTTACATTTTTAAAAAGTCTCAAGCATGGCTACCTAAAAAATATTTTGTTAATATAATCTACTGTAATTTCACTTATTTAGGGGTTTAGATATGAAAACTTCTGTATGAGCCAATAAAAATATTACAGAGAAAAAAACACTTTTACAAAACTTGAGGTTAAGAATTATGAGGCATTTTTTTTGGCTGTAAACATACAGTTTACTGTCCCTTGTTGAAACACAAATGTTTGGATTTCCTGAGCTTCATGGATAACAGCAGGAGGCAAGTTTGCATAGAAAATTTGCAATGTGTCAACAATTTACTTAAAAAAAGAACTTTTAAGGACAACTTGCTTTTGTTTTTAAGGTTCGTATTTTAGTTAACAGTGCTCATCAAAATGAATATTGATAAGCAGGGCGATGAGATATATAAGGCAGATGGGAAGAAAACATGGAATTAAGAGTTTTTAAATCCACAGGATGTCACGATAAAGGGTTTTAAGCAGATACTTCATAACCTAGTGCCATAGTAATTTAGTTAGGAATTAAATCATGTTTTGGAATTGAAAGCCAAAGGCAAAAAAAAGCGCTCTCCTGTGCTGAATGGCACAGCCCGAGTGCAGGAATGGAAGTAGTATTCACTGCACGAGGCCTCAGCACATCACTTGGTGGTGATAAAGCCACTCAGCTGGTCAGGTATGGAGGAGGGGGCCCCCCGGCTAGAATCAGGACCAGACTTCTGGGTGTGGCTGATCCCAGCTCTGAAATCTGAAGGGATGACAGGGACTTTCACCTCTGCTAGTTTGAAGTCTCTAAGCAGTTCTGAGGCACCAGTCTTCTCCTGGGATAAGTCCTCAAAAACCTTTGGAAAGGGAAGAAGCTATGCTAGGCCACAGTGTATACAATGAGAAAAAAATGGCAGCAGCTGCCAACAACTCTGGATCTAACACAAAGACGATGACAAGGGGGCAGTGTCCTGCCAAGGAATCCACTTTACTTCTTTTGAGACTGGTTTTTACACATGGTAAGGATTTGCTTCAGTACTTTCTGGACATCTTCATCCATCTGGCCCTAGGATATTCAAACACAAGATACTCATTAGAACCTAAATTAAGCCATGGAACATCCTTCTCTAGGGAATGAGATGGCTGACTGCGATGAAGCGCTGAGCTAATTTCCCCATCTTTCACAGGAATGTCAGCCCTATCATTTCCCACATTTCTATGAGGAACTGAGTTAAAGAAAGGGCCCTTCCCTTATCCAGCTGTACGATAAGGCGGCAGTGTCTACCAAAACCTTCAGCAAAGGGGTCTCAGTTGCAAATGTGAGTCCAGCAGCCAGAACAGCAAGCATCATAGAGCTAAGGCAGCACTGGTAGCTCTGAGAAGATCAGCATTGCTGGAAAATAAAGCCCTCATCCTCCCAATGAAAGATCACGTCGTCCCTCATTCCTCAATAAATGATGGGAGGGCTGGGTGTGGTGGCTCATGCCTGTAATCTCAGCACTTTGGGAGGCTGAGACGGGCAGATCGCTTGATCTCAGGAGTTTGAGACCAGCCTGGGCAGCATGGCAAAGCCCCGTCTCTATAAAACAAATACAAAAATTAGCCAGGTATGGTGGTGGGCACCTGTAAACCCACCTACCTGGGAGGCTAAGGTGGGAAGATCACTTGAGCCGGTATGTCGAGGCTGCAGTGAGGCAAGATTATGTCACTACATTCCAGCCTGGGTGACAGAGTTAGGCCCTGCCTTAAAAGATGGGGCTGCTCCTGGTAAACAGGGCACGAGGCTCCTGACAAAGAATCCAAGGCAATACAAAAGGCATATTCAAGCTTTCCATTGAAAAGGATTCTCCTCTAATTCTTGTTCATTCAACTAGTTTAATGATGGGAGTTCTGTCAACATCTGCTGCCGTATTTCTTTAGGATGTCCAGATACTTCAAGGGGTATCACCATACCTGCACAGCATAAAGAAGATGCATTCTGTAAACTGCTATGACCTCCTGGTGTTGCTTCTTACATTCCTAGAAAGAGAGTATTTTACATTATTTATGAACTCAGGAGATCTTTAAAGAACAAAAACAAAAAACTATGGGAAAGCTGCAGTCAAATGCTACCCAAGTGGTTACCTCCACTTTATGCTAGCATTGGAAGCTTCTAAAATTGTTGTGGCCTTACTGGCTTGTGTATTTCTGAATACTTGTCAATAATCTTAGGGAAAAAGTCTTGGTATGTCAACTCTAGAAAAAACTGTATAAAAAGGAGTTATTATAATCCCAAGTTTGTTTTTAAAAATATATGCACTTTGGGAGGCTGAGGTGGGCACATCAGTGGAGGTCAGGAGTTGGATACCAGCCTGGCCAACATAGTGAAACCCTGTCTCTACTAAAAATACAAAAATTAGGCAGGCATAATAGTAGGTGCCTGTAATCCCAGCTACTCAGGAAGCTGAGGCAGGAGAATCACTTGAACCTGGGAGGCAGAGGTTGCAGTGAGCCAAGATCACGCTACTGCACTCCAGCCTGGGGCACAGAGCAAAACTCTGTCTCAAGAAAAAAAAATACACACACACACACACGTATACATATATATATATGTACTCATTTATACAAATACAGCTACATTCAATGTAAATACTATAAGGAAATATATCAAATGCAAATAGTGATTATCTCAAAGCTGTTTAATGATGGAAAATTTTTATAGGAACTTAAGAGTTTTCTGTATTTTTCAGCTTTTCTATAGTGATCAAATGTGTACTACTTTAATTTTTAAGGGAATTATTGATTGCCCACTATCTGGCCGGTGTTGTATAATCCTTGGGGAGCTATCAGTGTACCCAGGAGGCAAAAAGCGTGGCCTTAACTTCCAGTGGTTCCTTAATACAGCTGCTGATGCTTCTATTTCTCCTTGTTGAGCTATTACTCCAGTTCTTCTCAGTGGCTGTTTCAAGGGTCTTAGCTCTGAAACTGTTCTCGTTCTAAGAGCCTGTCCTCCTACTTCATCATGAAAATTGAGACTATTATATATGGATTACTTAAAAAATGTACAAAAGTCCATAATACCTATTCTTCCTTTCCCCCTATCAGTGTCAGAATATGAGGTATCTTTCCTGTCATTCGGGGACACTTTGAAACTCGTCCTTTGAAGTTCACACCAGAAGAAGGCAGATTTGCCACTTCTCTTTATGGTATTCCCTCCCCACCTTTCAGCAATCCCTACTCAATTATTTATGATTTTATCTTCTGATCTTTGTTTTCCTTTCCATCTCTTCTTCTGTCATCATTTGGTTGGCTTTGATATCAGTATGAATGATCCATCTAATATCTAAACCTCTCAGTTCCTCGACTTCAGCTTTGATAACATGCTCCTCTTCGGTTCAGCAGCTCCTCTCACGGTTGTAGCCCTGCCTTTGTCATTACCACTCCCGAAACCTCAACTGAAAGCATCCCATGCCCTAATCACCACCTCCCATCTTTCCAGCAAACTTGCTTCAGGCTTTCCCCAACCCCTGCTGTGACTGATTAGCCCCACGGATACCTTTCTACTTACTCACTTCTCTAGCAGCCAGTCTACTGTAGTCCAGATTTTACCATCCTCCCCACTCCACTGGAATGGTTCTCACCAAGGTTCCCAAAAGCCAGGTAGTGCCACATGCCAGTCCTTGCTGAGTAACAACATATTCTTACTCAGGTCTTCAAGACTCAGCACAAGTATAACTCCTGTAGGAACCTTTTCATGACTCAGCATGATTGGGTAGACACATTTCCTTTGTATGCCCATGGCATGCGGGGCAGCTCTTTGTTGATAACTTACATAAACTCCATGAGGGCAGGAACTGTGAGTCTCACTCATTTTTTATCATCAATACCATGTATAATACTGATGCATAGGAAGAGCTCAACAAACACATGTTGCATAATTGTAAGAATTGCTGTGTAAACCGATAGCACTTTATCTACAAGTCTGTAATATCATTTTTTCAGGAGAAGAATGCAGAACACAGTAAGGAGCAGCTTCTCCTCCTCAGAGTATCCACCACTGCTAGAGCTGTTTCTTCCAACAAGCTAGCATTGAACTTTGTGGCCAGCCAGAGTAAGGAGTGCCGAAACCTGAATTCACTAGTTAGATGTATACTGAAGAAATCATCAAATCCACATTCTGTTTGTATATGGAAGCTAGAGACAGTCCAGGACAGACTAACCCTGGACTTCAGCTGGAAAACCTAATATACCCATGTCAACTCAAAACTTAACAGATAATTGTGGTAAGCTAAATAATGGCTCTTGAAAGATGTCCACATCCTAATTCCCAGATCCTGTGAATGTTACTTTATATGGCAAAAGGCATCTTGCAGATGAAATTAAGGGTTTTGAGATGGAGAGGGAGATTATTATGGATTATCTATGTGGGCTTTAGATGTAACTCCCTTATAAGAGGGAGGCAAGAAAGTCAAAGGCTGAAGGAGAAGATGGGAAGACTGAGCAGATGCTGGAGTGATGTGCCCTGAAGATGGAGGAAGGGGCCATGAGCCACGGAATGCAGGCAGTCTCTGGAAGCTGGAAAGGCAAGGAAATGGATTTTCACCTACAGTCTTGAGGAAGAACCAGCCCTGCCAACACCTTGAAGTTGACGGAAAGTGATTTTGAACTTCCGCTCCATGCAACTATAAAATAATATACTCATGTTGTTCTAAACCAAATTTGTGGTGATTTGTTACATGGACCCAGAAAACAAGTTTAGATAAGCAAGCACTTTCCAGGTGAAATAAGGAGAGGGACCAAGAAGCAGCTTCAGATATGTAGAGATGCAACTACTAGAGATCCTGGCCCCTAACGAGAAAAAGCTATTGCCACTGCCAGACATGGAGAAAGACTGTTGCAGAAAAAGGCGAAGGGATAAAAAGTTAGGGTACAAGTGAACACGCAACCTCCTCCCACTGTCCTGTCAGTTCTTTCCTTCCCAGTGAGTATCTAACCCGTGGCATCGCTGATAATGACTGGGAATTCCACCAGTGGCTCCCTGTTTTGCCATCACTGAAGAAATCAGTCAACTGCTCACTGAAGTACATTCCTTTGGGCTGGGAATCTTTCTGTTCATGCCCACTTGCCCTAGCAGCTAAGCTATGGAATCTGCCTGGCCCTCCACCCCAAACCAGGCAGCAGAAACAAGCCCACTCACCGCCAGCTGGTTCTGGAGCTGTTTGACTTGCTGCTGCAGCGCCTCCAGCTGCTGACTCTGCCTTTTGGATGAGCTTGTTGAATAGGAGAGCTGGGAGAGGCTGTTCAGGGCCTCCTTCAATTTGGTGACTTCCTTCGACATCTCACTTATCTAGGGACAAAGGAAAATGGTGTTAGCAGGCGGCAACATGTCTGCAAAGCAAAATTTCAATTATTTCTAAGCCTCGAACACAGTCATCTCTTTTGGCCTCTGGGACCTAAGACTTTGGAACAATTCCCTTTTAATACGGTTAAATAAAAAACCTCATAAAATGAAACAGGAAACAAAATCAGGCAAATTAACAAAGCCCACTACATCTATTACATTCAGATCAAGGCCCCTGAATTACCTATGTTTTGGTGCATGACGGTAACAAAAGCTATGATGTTGGTTTCCTACTTTTACTTTTAAAAGGGGTATGATTGAAAAAAATCAGAATTAGGATTTCAGGCATTGTTTATTTGGAGACAGCTATGTTTTGTTCAATACTGCTGACATGGGCGATAAGGAATAAGGCCTAGGAAGCCTGATATCTCTGGACATCTTTCTTTAAAGAAAACACAACTAACTTCTCATTGTACCCCACTACTCCCTAATCCCTGTTCCCTTGGCTATTAAACCTCTTTTGAAACACTCATTACAAGAGAATAAAGATAAGTAGATTCTAATGAATGGCATTCGGAGCCTCTGAGACAGAGGACTAGAGATGCAGAGCCAACTGAGGTGTGGAAACATCCTCCTCAACTTCCCCTTTGCTTCCCTCCTTCATCCAGTAGCGTGACCAGCACCATCTCTAATTGTGTCCAGTGCCATCTCTAATTGCCGCGTCTCCACATTCCTCCCCCTTCCTCTCCTATATGCCTGTCAAAGGAAGGGCCAGTGAGGGTAGCTCAGAGGCTCTGCACATGAACTTTATCTGTCTTCAAAGCCACATTAAAAATAGTTGGTTGGGTATTTATGTTTTACAGATACATCCACTGGGCATGGTGGCTCACTCCTCTAATTCCAGTACTTTGGGAGGCCACAATGGGAGGATAGCTTGAGAACAGCCTCAGCAACATAGTGATACCCCATCTGTACAAAAAATTTAAAAATTATCCAGGCATGGTGGTGCATGCATATAGTCCCAGCCACTTGAGAGGCTAAGGCAGGAAGATCAATCAAGCCCAAGAAGGCTGTCATGAGCCATATCAATGCCACTGTACTCCATCCTAGACAACAGAGTGAGACCCTGCCTTAGGGAAGCACATGGGCCTTAGGGAAGCACGATTCAGTCTAGGAGTATTTTACTTTTATATTATGGAGAATCTGTTTTGAATCTAAAAAAAGGACCTGAAGTTTGAAGTGGATCCTAAGTAATTTTCAGTTTGCAGGTTCACTTCTGATCCCCAACCAATGTTGGGTTTCTGGCAGTAGTTTCTAGAAATTCATTCAACACTTTTGAATACTGAGACTTCATTTTGGACAGTGCATCTTCTGCTTTGGTCCTGGACACGTTTGTCACTTGCATCAGTTTCTCATGCTCTGCTTTACTGGCAAAGCTTCTGTAAAATGATTTTTAAAGGACAAATATGTACCACATATGTGAAATGCTTCAGTATAAGGAGAAGTGGCAGAAGATTTATGTTTGCTTATTTATTATTTGTTGAGGCAGGGTCTCACTCTGTTGTCTAGGCTGGAGTACAGTGGTGATGATATGGCTCATGACAGCCTTCTTGGGCTTGATTGATCTTCCTGCCTTAGCCTCTCAAGTGGCTGGGACTATATGCATGCACCTCCATGCCTGGATAATTTTTAAATTTTTTGTACAGATGGGGTATCACTATGTTGCTGAGGCTGTTCTCAAGCTATCCTCCCATTGTGGCCTCCCAAAGTACTGGAATTAGAGGAGTGAGCCACCACGCCCAGTGGATGTATCTGTAAAACATAAATACCCAACCAACTATTTTTAATGTGGCTTTGAAGACAGATAAAGTTCATGTGCAGAGCCTCTGAGCATTCACTCCAGTTTAGTCCCAACAAACACTACAAGTGTTTAATACAGTAAAAGCCAAAGAGCCTGACTTACTGCTAGAAACCCTACAGCAATACAGCTTCACCAACCTTTTTGTCTTTATCTTCCTCCAATTTTGAAGAGCTCTCAGAATATCTTTTCATTTCTGCAAGTTCTTCCTGAGCTTGCTGGAATTTTTGCAGAAGTTCATTCACTTCTTGCTCTTTGGATTTCAGGAGAGTCTGAATATTTTCCTTTTCTCTTTTCACCTGTGAGACTTCACTTCTAATCTGGGCAACCTCTGAATGTACCTTCTCTTTCTCTTTCACTGATTCCTTTAATTTTGATGCCAGTGCACTCACTTCACTCTCTAAGGATGACTGGAGTTTTTCATAGGAAGAACGGGATACCATTGCATCAGTCATGGCAGCTTTCTCTTCTAAGAGTTGTTTCTCCAGCTTTGCTACTTCTACTTCCTTGCTTGCAAGGTGTTCCTTAAGACTGCTAATTTTTTCTTCCATCTCTTTTGCTGCAGTCCGCAGCGTGGTTATCACTTGCAAATGTTCTGTGATAGAGATGGAGTTCTCTTTCTGTGCATCGACCAGCTGTTTGAGCTGGGTCAACTCATTCAACACTTTTGAATACTGAGACTTCATTTCGGACAGTGCATCTTCTGCTTTGGTCCTGGACACATTTGTCACTTGCATCAGTTTCTCATGCTCTGCTTTATGGATATATTCAGCTGTGACATCCTCTAGAGATTTCCTCTTCCTGTAATCCTCCAGCTCGGCCTGGGCTTCTTTGTACAGCTGTGACAGCTCACTCACCTGTTTATTGAGTTCATCTATCATCCTATGCATGGCTTCTTTCATTTCCTCAGCTTCATCACTGGCTTCCTGTGTCATCTGACTTTTTAGTGTGTCTTTTAATTTCATGATTTCTTCTTGGGCCTCTTGGTATTTCTCAAACAAAAATGCTTTCTCCTTATTCATATTCTCAATAACAGAGGAATATGAACTTTTCATTTCCTCATATTCTTTCGCAGGTGGCTTAATCACAGTATCTTTCTCCCTTTCTACCAGTCTTTCCTCTAACTCTCTCACTTTCTCTTTATTTCTTTCACTTTCTTCTAATGCATTCTGCAGATCCTGCTTTAGCACATTTATTTCCTCTTCGGTGACCCTCAGCTCGTGGAGGTGTGAATAATTATCCACGTTCTCAGGCGAGACAAGACCCAGTTTCATCTGCTTCTGCACACTAAGGACTTCTTTCATAGCCTCCTCATATTTGCTCTGAGTTTCTTTAAGTTTCTGGCTGAGGTCAGAGCTGTTCTCTGAAATCTCAATGTTGTTTAAGCATACCAGTTCTGCCTTTCGAGATTGGAGTTCGACCTGTAGCTGTTTTCGCTCTGCTTCAGAGCTCTCTAATCTCCTCTGTAAATCTTGCAAATTCTCTTGCAGTTGCTGAATTCTGACATCATTGTCAGTAGTGGATTTACCAAAAGAATGTATTAAGACAGATGGAGATGATTTGGAGTCTGAGGGAGAGGTTTCATCAGGTTTGCTCAGGGCTGGGCCCAAGTCAGTTTGGGTGGAATGGTATGAGTCAAAGCTTAGGTCTGCTTCTGCCTCCTTGGGTGATTTGGCCTAGGAAAAAAAGCAAGAATTAAATGATACCAAAGGTGTGGTTAGCTTAGCAATCAACGAAAATGAGAGGAGTAAATCCACAACTTTGGTATGGGAGAGTAGCATGATCACTTAGCATGTATATTCTCATGCCATGAAAAAAGATGGTGTGGGACATGAGAGTGGGACTAATGACACAAAGCTTGCTCTGCATTCTATTAGGACAGATGATTTGTGTCACTTTGAAAACAGTAGAATTGTTTTCTCTACAAAGCCCCCAATTCAACATTTTCCTTTATTTCTCTTATGATTCCACTTGTCAAGAGGGGCAATGGATATAAAGTACAGCTATTTCTTCTTTTTTTGGTACAGCTATTTCTTATCAAGTTCTTAAACCTGTTAAGTGATCAGTTTTACTAAATGAACGGCTAATATTATGCACACACACACACACAAACTTAAAATATAAAATTTTCATGTATATGTAAAATCAAATATAAAATTTTATATATAAAATTATATGTATCATTGTATGTATATAGTATATTTATATAGAATTTTTAATTCTTTGAATTTGTTTTATTTATATAATTTTTTATTAAACTTATATAATTTTAATACTGATCATACTATGTGTATAATCATATATAATTTAGCAGTTGAATAACTTACAGAGTTAATGAATAACACTCTCATTAAATAATCTGAAACTGTAAGATGCTTAAAGTTTAAATATTTAATTAAATATTTAATTAAATATTTAAGTTTAAATATTTAAAATTAAGATGCTTAATTTTAAATATTTAAAAATTAACTACTGTACACATTTAAAACAAAATACATCCGACTGCTGAAGAGACCAAGAGTTTGACTCTACAGAATAGTCCGTGATAGCAATCTATTTATGTACCTGTAATTTATCTTGTAATTCCTTATTGTGTAAGGTAAGGGAAGCAACTTTTGCTTGCAATAGGGCGAGAAGATCTTGCTGGTCAGCTTCAGAACTTATATCCAATAAACTATCAGCACCTTGGGGAAAAGAAAGCAATTTAAAATAATATAAAACAATTAAACTCTTAGAGTTTCTCTAATCTCAGACAAATTCACTTACTAGCCAAATCCAGTTCTTCCTAGTCCTAACTATAAAACGCCCTACCAGCTGGATGGATGAACTGTCATTTTCACGTTCTGGGTTTCCTTAGTGTGGTATTTTTAGGACAATACTAGATACATGTGTATACAAGGCAATTCTGAAAGCTGATGAATTTGGTCACGTATTTCCTATTCACTGGCTTGAGTGTCATATCTTGGTTGTTTTCAGTTCTTCTCTGTGCCTCCTAAGTCTCAGTTCTGTGAATCATTTTAGAAATGTCTCTGGAATTTGGTTTCTTACCCCCCACCACCATTACTGTAGTTCAGATTTTATCACGTTACTTGGAAACTCTGCAAACAGCTTCCCAAAAAATCTGCCTCTCTCCTCTTCCCAGTGAAACTGTAGCCTGCACAACAACATCAGATCAGTCTTCCTATGACATACCTTGACTGGGTCATTCGTTTCGGTCAAGTGCTTTAATTGTTTTCCCTCCATGATTTGGCCCCAGTCTACTTTTTCAGGTTCATGACACTGCTACTTTCCTAGATTTCTGTTTTCCTCAGATTCATGGTTCCCATCATACCCTCTACATTCTCAACACATCACTGATTCTTTCATTCTTAATCCACAGGATTGGCCTGAAGAATCTCTCTGCCAGGGAATTCTTAGGCATCATGTCAAACTTTGCCCAGTCCTTAAAGCATTCAATGACCACTCTAGCATGAATCTGTCTTCTCTTCTATGTATCCCACAGTAATCCCTGTTGGTAAACCACAACTTTTTGACATCCTACTGATTATCATGCTGAATTACAACTTAAGGAGTGCTATTCAAGATGCTCACTGAGTTGGCAAATTTCCTCCAGAACACAGTGCAAGGTACTGCTTCCTTCATCTAGAAAATCCTAAGAAAAATATGTCAGCTGAACAAAACAATGTGCTTAGTGAAGTAACTGTGTGAATTTCTGGTCCAAACTCCTTAATATTATTATTATTACTTTTTGAGATGGAGTCTTGCTCTGTTACCCAAGCTGGAGTGCAGTGGCCCCATCTTGGCCTAACTGCAACTCTGCCTCCCAGCTTCAAGTGATTCTCCTGCGTCAGCCTCCCAAGTAGCTGGGACTGCAGGCATTATCAATAATTAGCTATTACACAAAATCTCAATAATTTTATGTAAATAGCTAATTTTTGTATTTTTAGTAGAGATGGGTTTTTGCCATGTTGGCAAGGCTGACCTCAAACTCCTGACCTCATGTGATCTGCCCATCTTTGCCTCCCAAAGTGCTGGGATTACAGGCGTAAGCTACCACACCCTACTCAAACTCCTTAATTATTATAGGCTAGTAAAGACTTTACAAACCATACTTTGAAAAGCATTGATCTAATTTTTTTTTTTTTTTTGAGACGGAGTTTCATTTTTGTTACCCAGGCTGGAGTGCAATGGCGCGATCTTGGCTCACCACAACCTCCGCCTCCTGGGTTCAGGCAATTCTCCTGCCTCAGCCTCCTGAGTAGCTGGGATTACTGGCATGCGCCACCATGCCCAGCTAATTTTTTGTATTTTTAGTAGAGATGGGGTTTCACCATGTCGACCAGGATGGTCTCGATCTCTTGACCTCGTGATCCACCCGCCTTGGCCTCCCAAAGTGCTGGGATTACAGGCTTGAGCCACCACGCCTGGCTGATCTAAATTTGTAATGCTATGCTTTTAATTTTCTCACAGCCATTTAATGCAAAGATGAAAACTTTAATCTTAACTTGGAAGGATGCAAAATGACCTTTCTTCAAAGAAGTGCTTGTTTCTGATCGTAAGGCACTGTCCTGATGTCTGATGCCTAAATCATAGCTTTCTGAGTTTCCTTGACATGAAGTTTGGTTAGTGTGGAATAAACAAGGGAAATGGGAGCATAAATGCAATTCTAAGAAATAAAAATTACTTCTAAGATACAGTGAATGGTTTTTAAAGTACCCAATGTAACATTTGTTCAGTTATATTAACATTGATCTCTGATAGGAATTAGAAAGTTTAATATTTCTAGGGTTGGGTATGGTGGCTCACGTCTTTAATCCCAGCACTATGGGAGGCCAAGATGGGAGGATTGCTTGAGCTCAGGAGTTTGAGACCAGCCTGGGCAATTTAGTAAGATACCATCTCTAAAATAAATAAATACATGCATGAATAAAAAAGTATTTCTAAGTTCTGCATGTTAAAGGCTCCAAACACAACAGATTAAGACTCTGAATGCTGGAGCAAAAATGGACCTTTGAAATTGTCTCTTCTATTTTAAACTGATTCTAAAGATACTGTATTGCATTCTTAGGAGGCACTCTTTAAGGAATACAATGAATTTAACCCTATGATCATAAAGATAGTATGATTACATATTTTAGGAACATTCTTGTCTTTGCCTGTGCCTACTTAGAATCCAAAGTAGAAAAAAGTTAGATTGGGACAGTCATGGAGGTGACATGGTGGGTTCTCCCTCATAAAATAATGTGCTGCTCAGCTGCAAAGAGTGCAGTTAGCAGATAGTAGAAGCCTATGGACCTCATCTGAAAATAATGTTTTTAATGTGTGAGATAAAACAGACAGGCTACAGTAACTTAAGAGCTTCTTTGGTAACAATAACAAGGTTTAGCAGCAGGTCTAATAACTGCCATAATTTTTAGTAGCAATAGTGTTGATATTTCAAGAAATCTGCAATATCTGTAAGGTGACAGGAATTCTCTTGACAAAATCACTGGTATGCTAATACCACTGGGGCTTATTGTCTATATTCATAATTGAAGAAACTGCTAACATGTGGTTTGGGACAAATGAAAATAAATATGTATTTTTCAAAATTTGAATTCAGAGACTCTTTAAAATGCAGGTGAAGGTGCCCTGAAGTACAGAGCATGTCAGCTTGTATGCTACTGCAGCTCTGTGCAGGTGTGCTGGCTCATGACTTTTTTTTTTTTTTTTTTTTTGAGTCTTGCTTTGTTGCCCAGGCTAGAGTGCAGTGGTGCGATCTCAGCTCATGGCAACCTCCACTTCCCGTTTCAAGTGATTCTCCATCCTCAGCTTCCCAAGTAGCTGTGATTACAGGTGCTCGCCACCACACCCAGCTAATTTTTGTATTTTCAGTAGAGATGGGGTTTCACCATGTTGGCCAGGCTGGTCTCGAACTCCTGGCCTTGTGATCTACCCGCCCCAGCCTCCCAAACAAGTGCAAGCCACTGCGCCCAGTTGGCTCGTTATCTTTTTACACAGTACCCAACCTTGGCCTTTGCTCTCTTTAAATGGACATGAAATAAAGTTTGGTTAAAGAAAAAACAAAAACAAAAACAAACAGATGCTTCCTTATCTTACCTGTAGTACTGTCACTTAGTCTGTCTTTGTTTTCTTGTATGGAACTGATCTCAGCCTATTGAAACACAAAAATGATTTAAAAGAACATTCCTAAATGTAACATTGCACAAAAGAATCAAGCAGACTTTTCTACTTGAGCTTATGCAGAGCAGATCTGGTATTATCCTACTAGAAAAGCAGCTAGAAAATCTCAAAGGAAGACGGTATTTTAAGCTATGAATGAGTAAAAGTGACAATTATCTACTAAGTTAAATTTCTAAAACATTAGAAGTTCCAGAAGGTATACTCTCTAAATATTTTTCAAAAGTTTCATTTAGTGAGTACAATGCAAATACATTTAAGATTACAATAATTTCTCCAAGCTAGAGGTGATCAGAAAAATAAATTACAATAATTTCATGTAATTGCTAATTTACCGAGTTATGTACTAAAAACTGAGATGGCAAATACTGCTTTCATAATGAAGTCAAAGAGAAGTCCTGTATGGCTGCATTAGTTATACATTGATTGAAATATTTTAAATCAGATTTTTTAGCTTTATCATTTTATAAATTATCTGCTATTAAAGTTGTTATTAACCTTTCTAAGGGAAATGGTAATAAATATCATATGGTCTTAGATTGGCAATAGATTCCCTAAAGATTTTCTCTAATCCTTTGTCCCTGAATATCTGTTAATCTACTGTAAAACTTCTTGGAACTTCAAAGCCATACTCTCACTTCCAAGCATTACAGTGGCTTGCTAAAAATTACAATGTGGCATCCAAATGAGCCACAGACAGTAAGAGAATTTTTCAGCAAATATACCTTTATAAAAACCCAAATGCTAACAATTATGTTTTATTTCCCCCCAAGTATAGTTTCTTAGTATATTAAACAGATATTAAATGGAAATATCCTCCCACTTCCTTAAAATATTTTCCAACCACAAACCTATAGAACCAGGTGGATGAGACCTAATGGATTTTCTAATGTTTGTAAGACAAATACATATTACTTTTATAGTCGGGAAAACATATAATTAACTATACAATTACTTCTCAGTAACACATCAGAGAATAACAAAAGTTTCTATCTTTTTGACTGGAATTAATATCAACTTAATTGGGTAAGAAGACTGGTTACCTACTAAGTATTTAACTTTGTCTCTTTTTAAAAAACTTTTAATACATTTTTTATTTGAAACAATTTAAGATTTATAAAGAAGTTGCAAGATAGAAACTTTCACTCATTTCTCCTAAAGTTTACAACATATGTAGCCATTATACAATTTGTGGCCATAGACAATACATATACATATGTAGCCATATATAAATTTACCAATTTGTTAATTGGTAAATTACTACTACCTAAATTACAGCTTTATTCAAATTGCACCAATTTTTCCACGAATGGCCTTTTTTTGTCTCAGGATCTAATCTAGGATATTATACTGTATATAGAGAAGTTTCTGAAATATAATGTTTGACATTTCCTTAATATTCTGCATTCAGGAAAGAATGAGGAGAATAACAGGTAGAAGCTGGTTACTTTCACACCGTATTTTTTTAAAAGTTAATTTATTTTTTAGTTGACAAATAAAAATTGTGTACATTTATCATGTACATCATGATGTCTTCAAATATGTACATTATGTGAAATGGCCAAGTAGAACTAATTTATCTCACGCACTTATCATTTTTTGTGATGAGAACACTTAAAAGTTTACTCTGAGTGATTTTCAGAACCCAATGCGTTGTTATTAACTACAGTCACCATGCTGTACAATGCATCTCTTGAACTTACTCCTTTTATCTAGATGAAATGTCATATCCTCTGGCCAACATCTCCCCAACACTTCCCACCACTCCCCCATTATCATTCTAATCTCTGCTTCTATGGGTTCAACTTTTTTAGATTCCATATAAGTAAACTTTGTTTTTTTTTTTTCTCCAGCCTCCGAGACGGAGTCTCTCTCTGTCGCCCAGGCTAAAGTGCAGTGGCGCAATATCGGCTCACTCCAACCTCCACCTCCTGGGTTCAAGTACTTCTCCTGCCTCAGCCTCCCAAGTAACTGGTATTATAGGCATGAACCACCACACCCAACTAAATTTGTATTTTTAGTAGAGACAGGGTTTTGCTGTGTTGGCCAAGCTGGTCTCAAACTCCTGACCTCAGGTGATCTGCCCACTTTGGCCTCACAAAGTGCTGGGATTACAGGTGTGAGCCACCGCACTTGTCCCTCTTGTCTTTTTCTTTTTTAAATGAAGAAAATCAATTATTAATTTGTAAATTTAATTTATTCAATTATTTTTTTAAAATTTTAACTTATTATGGATACATACTAGCTGTATCTATTCTTGCTTTATGGGGTTCATGCCAGAACAAATAGTCGAGGGGGTACTTCCTGGTGAAAAGGTTGTGAACCAATGATTCAGAAGCATATTCTGTTTTTTCCCAGTGTTATATAACTCAAAGCAAGTCTATCATGTATCTTAAAATACAGTAACAAAACTGAATACGGAAAGAAAATACCTTGAAGGGTGGTTCAGCAAAAAATACCGATTCCTTTCCTGAAAGTGGCGTTGAAGTTATTGATCTTGGGGAAGAGACATCACTTAACTAAAAACAAACAAACAAACAAAATGAAAATTATCCATAAAGAATGCACCTTCAAACTCTTTTCTTCTCCAGTGCCAAATAATTGACCTGTTTAACCAATGCAATGAAATCTAACAGTAAATATCCTTGGCATCAATTAATTCAAGGGTAGAATATTTTCAATGCAGTTCAGCTACTTCAAATACTTTCTGAAAGTTTACAGAATATAACTTTGTTCCTATATTAAAATCATTTTTTTAATCTACAAAACTTTTGTTGCAGGTTAAGAATAAGTATGCTAACATACATTTAAAAATACTTAAGAGATAAGCGATTCCTCTCTACTACTTAAATATGGATTATTCTCTTTGTGGCCTCTGAATTTTTACATAGCAAGTCTCGACCTGTTTTTCCATGCAGTTACATAGATTACTGAGCTTCCTCTTCTATGCAGTGGTTACTATAAGCTCACAAATGAAAACTACTTTTAATATTAGCCAACTGTAAATGTAATTAGAAAGGCTAATATATTTTAGCAATGTTTTAAGAAACCAACTGAAATTCATTTTCAACTGACTGCCTCATTGGATGCTCATTCTCCCACTCCTTACTAGATCTTTTAATATAAGGAACTAAAAATAAATTGAGCTTATCTTAAGGGAAAAGTGTCTGTGATAAGATTTTGAGAAATTTCCTCGAGACTTTTCAAAAAGAGGCTGTTTGATTCTACTGTTTTAAAATGGATACGAATCAACATTATTTCCATACTAATCATCAAAATCCTTCTTACCACAATTTGTAATTTAAAACCACTAAGGAGGCCGGGCGCGGTGGCTCATGCCTGTAATCCCAGCACTTTGGGAGGCCGAGGCGGGTGGATCACAAGGTGAAGAGATCGAGACCATCCTGGTCAACATGGTGAAACCCCGTCTCTACTAAAAATACAAAAAATTAGCTGGGCATGGTGGCGCGTGCCTGTAATCCCAGCCACTCAGGAGGCTGAGGCAGGAGAATTGCCTGAACCAGGAGGCAGAGGTTGCGGTGAGCCGAGATCGCGCCATTGCACTCCAGCTTGGGTAACAAGAGCGAAACTCTGTCTCAAAAAAAAAAACTGGTAAGAAAAATTTTAAATATGCACTTAAAGGTCAGTTGTAAAGCATTCCTTTTTGGCCTAAACAAAATGAGAAATTAATGGCTTTTTTGTAGTATGTTTATCGACTGGTGGTTCGCTTTTGTTTTTACCTGGGTAGGACTGATAGGAGGTGGTGGAGCTTTGCGTTTTTTTGGAGTTCCACTTCTTTCTGAGCTTATTTTAGAGACTTGGTCATGCTGAAAGTTATCACAGTCCAAAGAATGGAGGCGGGTTAGTTTGGTTAGTAAAGTCTGAGCAAGTAGATTTATCAAACACATGAGAAAAACCTTATAAGTTCATGCATTTATTACTTTATCAAAATCTGAAATCTGCTACGAACATAAATAATATGCATGCGCCAAGTATTCTTCTAGCAGCCCATGCTTTAATAGCAAGAAAATAAAAACACATAAGACAAAACCAGATTAGGTTGGTGTGGAGAACTGGCAAAGTAGAGGTTGACATCTACCACAATTTAGAATCCAGAACACAATCATAGTCAGCTTTCTGAGTGAATGAAAACCAAAGGTATTTTCTACACCTATGTATTATTTCCATTCCTTTTTAAAAGACTATGAGGGAAAGGGATAACTTCAGTTTTGAAGGTTATTGATTAAGTATTACAGTTAGCACATATATTCAGTATTAGAGTATTTGCTGTTTGTAATTTCTTCAAGAACCTAGATGTGTAAATAAATAGAACAACCAAACATACACTGTTCGTCAAAAAACAGTGACAACGTATTTTTAGAAAAAAAAAAAAAAAAAAAAAAACCAAACAGTAACAGGGCAAATTCAATTTCTACTTTCTGTAACACTATATGACATTCTAGAAAAACCCTAATTAAAAGAAGAAGCTAAATTCTCTTATTACCATTAAATAGCTAACGTTTTCTGGATTGCAGGTCTGTAGCTCATGTGATATTACAGGTACTTCAAACACTGTTATTCATTCGCAGAGTTTAAGCCACATCAAACATGTTCACACCAATAGGAAGTATGAGTTAGTATATTTCAGAAAAAGATGAACATATAAGTAGCAAGTTTAACGTTACATGCTTTTGAAATAAAGCAAATTATTAAGAAAACCTTTACCACCTTTAACAGTGAATCATTTATTTCAAAGATATTTCAGTCCTTAAGTATTTTCAATACAGTCTTTATTATTTTACTATTGGACCACAGAGTGGTTAAATCTGAACACAGTGGTTAAATCTGAACTTCAGAATTCCCACAAGCATAAATGAAACAAAAAGCCTCCCCCAAAGATAAATACCTGCTTTGGTTTTGTTGAGGTCTTTAAATCTAAAGAGGAAAAAGTGAAAAAAATAACTATAAGAACCATAATGATTCATATTCACTTTGGGTAGGGGGATACACACACACCACCATACACAATAGTTTTTAAGACTCAATTTTTCTTCAAAAATGTGTTTTAAAAATAACAAAATATATCATATTGCACACATTCCTTTATCCTTTGGGGAAAATGGAGTAGATAAATTTAAAACAACATTGGCTATTTTCTTTCACATACCAGCATCCTGAGAGATTTTTGATAATAGAAGGCTTTGAATTCCTGCATGTTCTGAGAGTCTGGAATAATGTAAGGCATTGTGTCCAAGAGAATCTACAAGGGTTAGGTCTGCACCCTTTTTAATTAAGGCTTCCACAATGTTAGAGCTGCCAATCTCACAGGCCAACATGAGAGCAGTTCTAAAGGAAAAGGGAGACACAAAATTAGTACTAACGAAATGTGCAAACTCTTTCCTGGGAAATCAGTTGTCTTAAAAAAAGAGAGAGAGAAAGAAGATTAAGTGCAGTTAAACCTTTATTACACTTAATCTTTGGGGAATTTGAAGTGGAATGCTATCAAGATGAAATTAGGCATTATTTTTAAAACTTCAGATTAAATCAAAACATTAAACCATATTTAGTCAAACAACATAATCTTCTATACTATTTGGCATAATATGATGGGATTTAATATGACTGGCATGAATCTTATCCTTTTTCATCTCAAGCACTTTAAATAACATATACGCTGCTAAGACCATTTCTCCAAACCAACCAATCGGTTTATTTCATTTTGCATAGAAAGTCACAGGAAATTGCTTATTCATGTTAGCATATAATAGTCTCCTCACAGACTTAGCCAGCAATGATGTCCACAGATGTCTGGGGAAAATTGCTTTTAGGTCAACATAGATTCTTGATGATCAAAAACAGTAGAACTTTAAAAAGGTAAGGAGTTTAAACCCCTTTATAACAAATGATCCAAAATATAGCTGTGATATTTTGAAATACTCTCAGAATGTGGATATCACTGAAGTCACATGATTTCTGCCTAATTCTGGGGTACCTTCCACTTTTGTTCCTGGAATTGACATCTGCTCCATGATCCAGGAGAAAGTGACAGATCTCACTGTGACCATTTTGTACAGCAAGAAGCAGCGGTATATTCCCATCCTAGGAGACAAATTCAGATTTAGATTTTAACTCAGGCACAAAATGCCAGAATTGCAAAAGTCAGCCCCTGTTCTTTGCGCATGCTTTTCCTGACTTAGACTGCTGATCTAATATCTGGTCCATCTTGATATTGTGTCCCTATAGAGCCACATGTGTATGTCAGTACAACTCTTCTTAGGGAATTTCACTGAATGCTAGCTTTTCCATAGCAGCTCTAGCTTCTTGGGCTGCTTGTTCCCGTGGCTATCACTGTTTGGGTGATTGTGAGAGAGGGTAGAACACAAAGTGTGTAAAGGCTAAAGGCAAGTGTACCATGTGTACTGAGGGATAATGCTGGAGAAAGGAAGGACGAATCTCTGCACGACATCAGAAGATCCCACTGCCCTATAGGCAGCTTCTTCCCCATGCACTAATGATTATATATCCTGCCATTCCACTCTTAACCAGAAAGTATACTTTTTAGTAATCTTGCTAGGTATAAAAACATAACATAAATTAAGAGCCTATGTCTATTACTAACACATGACTAGATAAAGAGATGCATAGAAAGAATAATATGTCATGACAATTGCAATGCCTTTAGGAAGAAGGAAATCTAGGTCTCCAACTCATATGCAAACCATGTCAGGTGGATTAAACTTTTAAACATTACAATATAAAACAAATGATGAAAACTACTAGAAGAATATATATACGTATTTTCTGTAATCTTAGGCCTGACACAAATAACACAAAACGTAAAGAGAAGTATCCTTTACGTTTTTTTTTTTTTTTTTTTTTTTAACAACAATTCACAATTCACAAGGGCTCTTCTGTACACAACATTTAATAGGGAGGTGGGAGGGAACAACAAAGGCAGAGTTGGGGCATCAGACCAGGGCAGGGCTGCAACTAGGGAGAAGAAATCAGTTAGCAGGCAGGCTACTACAAGCAGCAAATGGAGAGCCCTCTCACCCAGCCAACTCCAGGAGCTTCTCTGGTCCCTTGTGCTCTACCCTGAACCTTAGCCCAAGAGCCTGTTCCTCATCTTCAGCAAAGGACAGCAGGGCAGGACCTGAGTTGGTCTCTTCAGGGGCTGTCTTGAAGATGGCTGTTTTAGCAGAAATGAGGCTGACCAAAGGTTTCTACAAGGCACCTTGCATGGACTCTGGGGGTTGTAGAACACATGCCGTGACATCCATGCATTGGAGACCTGTATTTAAACATGGGCTAGCTGCCCATCCTGGGATCTTTGGCTAATACCCTTACCCTGGGTGCCCCTATCTGAGAATGATACTTTGGGCTGTTGAAGAGCCTATCTGAGGAGCTCTTGGGTTTCCTGGTTAAGTTGTAAAGTCATTCTGCCAGAAAGGTTATTACTGCAAAGTCAGGACCTGGTGGGCTGGGCTCACCACACCCTTCCAGCTCTGATTCCTTGGTATAAATGTTCCTCTTGAGATGGATGTGTGTCGAGGTGAACACCGAGAGCACTTGGCTGTAGCTGGGAATAGGGTAGGCAGGATTTGCTCTTGGTCACACTGGAAGGATACCCAGACCATACCCAGACACTGTTCTGGGATACAGTGTCTGAATCCTCAGCAGCCACTGCTCCTGAGGATACCTATTTAGGAAATACATGCTTCAAAATGTTCTTCTAATGCTTTAGAAACCAGTTAACCTTCCTCCCAGTTGAGAAAAAAGCCATGCAGCTCTACAAGTGCTCTTTTAATTTTACAGAAACACACTCTTTGAGGCTGAAGCAAAGCTGACTGATTTTCAGTGTGAAAATAAAATATAAACACTGTTCTTAGAGTTATTTGTAAACAGAACTAACATCAGAATCCTCTGAATTGTCAGAATCATCTATTTCAGAAAAATCGGATTCATTGAATGAATCTTCAGCCAATTCTTTGAGAATGGTGTTAACATCACTCATAGGAATGCTACGTTTGCTAGGATTTGACATTTTCGGCGATCGAAAATGACTCTATTTTGCACATGGAAATACCAGTACCAAAAACAGGATACTCTAAATAGAATGATGTCTTTTGTTTCCAAAGTCTATATACTAGAGTGATGCGAAAATAATAATAAAAGTGAGCTATTTCTTTATCTGGCAAAGTTATCTTGAGGTAAATACTGTACTCCCCAAGCGAGTATTCTCAGGGCAAACAGGAAAAGGGTTAAGAATAATACATAAATCCATTTTGCAGAAGAGAATCTAGGTTGAAAAGCAATAGAATTTTGCCCAGTGGGGCTGCAGACCAGTACCAGTCTGTGGCCTGTTAGGAACCCCCCTGCACAGCAGGGAGTGGGTGGCAGGTGAGTGAGCATCACTACCCATAAGACCAGTGGCAGTATTAGATTCTCATAGGAGCAGGAACCCTCTTGTGAACCAAGCACTCTAGGTTGTGCTTCCCATGCCTGATGATCTGAGCCAGAACAGTTTCATCCTGAAACCCTCCCCAACCCCATCCATGGAAAAATTATCTTCCCCCAAATCAGTCCCTGGTGCCAAAAAGGTTGGGAACTGCTGGTCTAATGTCTCAGTGACTCTAGAGGTATCCCTCTGAGCTCTAGGAACCAGTGTCCACCTTTATATCTAGTGACCACCTGGTACTCACCAAATCTTTGAGGTTTATGGGGCTCTTGTGTTCGCAGAGAATCTGCACAGCTTGAAGGCAGCCCTGTGCCGCTGGAGGAAGGAAAATAGAAACACCACAGCCAATCACAGTTATTCTCACAACCAGGGGTATCAGATACTTCAGGAAGGAAATGTTGATGTTCTCCCCACTCTACATGTAGACACTCTAGTTGCACTGAAGAGAAATAGTATTAGGAAGGTTAAGAGCGAGGTGTTTTGCCAGGTGTGGTGGCTGATGCCTATAATCTCAGCACTTTGGGAGGCCGAGGCAGACAGATCACGAGGTCAAGAGATTGACACCACCTTGGCCAACATGGTGAAACCTTGTCTCTACTTAAAAAAATACAAAAATTAGCTGGGCATGGTGGCATGCACCTGTAGTCCCAGCTACTTGGGAGGCTGAGGCAGGAGAATCGCTTGAACTTGGGAGGTGGAGGTTATAGTGAGCCAAGATCACACCACTGCACTCTAGCCTGCTGACAGAGCAAGACTCCATCTCAAAGAAAAAAAAAGAGTGAGAGATGTTTTACATTACTGCTTAATTTCAGAATTTCAGTTATGTAGGCCTAAGGCCAATGTCTGCCAGTTGCCTTTAGGCAAACATTTGATTCAGCTTTTCACAGGACTTAGCTTTTCCACAACGAGCAATAAAACACATGTGTAAATCTAATCACTTGTAGTTCAGTGTCAATGTTTGTCACTTGAAGTTGTGTAACTGTACTTAAACAAAATGTTGGTAAATAAAATTGACTGATATTCATAAAAATCCTCAAATTAAAAAGCGTGTATCACACATGACCTGAAATCTACAAGTGCTTATGAATATCTTAGTTTAAAAAGCAATCTTAAATTTGTTAAAATATATTAATCCTGATAATTTTCAGTGGTTGGGTGGCAAGGCAACTGATGAATTCTAGGTGTACGTCTCAGTAAAACTCTGCATATTTTACAAATGGAGTAAAATGGGAATGTCTAGAAATGATGAACAGAAAAGAACACCAGGAATAGTATGGAAGGTTAATGGCTTAAATAAGGATAAAGTTAGTGTTTCTAATGGCAGAAGAAGACAAAAAGGAGAATGAAAGTTACCTGCATAATGTAAAGCTGTCTTCCCAGAGCTGTCAACACTGTCAGCTGGGCATTTAGACTATAAGACAAAAATAAATACATCCATATAATAAAATATGCTGCAACAATTCTATTCAGTTCAGACTTTTCCTGCAAGGTATGATGTGACTTATTAGGAAGACTATAAACATAAATAAGCCCCACCTGCTGTGCTCCAGGAGTCTGCAGTATCCTATGGGGAAGGGGACTCATGTCTTCAGGACAGGCCAACTCTCCCACTCTTCGCTGCTTCACCTATCTGTCCTCTCCTTCCGTCATCACTGCAGCACCCCACCAGCTAACAGACATGCTGTACCCCTCTCATCTTGATCCTGTCTTTTCCCCCATCTCCTGCCCTTTTTGACCCCCTTCATAAAACCAGCTTTCTCTTAAGGATGACCCACATGCAGACCATGCTCCCCCACCTCCATTCACTCCTGAAACCACTGCAGTTGGGTGTCCCCTTTTGAGTCCAAGGAAATGGCCCTGGTTGAGGTCACCAACAACCTTCATGTTTCCAATGACAGTGAACATTTCTGTCCTCTCTCCAACCTCTCAGCTCCTTGGCTCATCCTATTCTGCTTTTCCTCTTGCGGCTCATTTTCTAGCCAAACAGAAACCCCCAGGCCTCCTCAGTGCTCTTCCTCTGAGCTCTCTTCCTGGTAAGCTCCTCCACACCCACGACCTGAAATACTAACTAGAAGAATGGATGCTAGTGACTCCCAAACATGGAGATCCCAACAGTACAACAGTAAGTGCTGTGTACTAGCTCTCACGTGCCAGGCACTGTTCAAAGAACTGCTTCAGGTCCTCTAACGACCCGAGGTAGATACTGTAATTACTCCACTTTCAGATGAAGAAACAGAGGCACAAAAAAGTTGGTAATTTGCTCAAGTCGCAGTAAATCTGCCGAGCTAAGATTCAAACCTAGACAGGCTGGGTTAGTACCTCAAAGGTAGCCCGGCTAAAATCTCTGGCTTCCCCTCCCCCATGCCCCGCCTGGACTACCATCTTCATCAACAGCATCATCATCAACCAGTGGTTCAGCTTTGATCCTCTTCTTCTTCCCCTCCTCCCTATCCCCCCTCCCCAGTGGACAACCAGGTCTTGTCAATTTTTTTTTCCAAAACTCACCTCCGATCTGCCCTCTTCCTTTTCTTGTTCCCAACATTCTTGTCTAAGACTGCATCTTCTCACCTGAATAGCTAAGGTAACCTCCTGGAGGGTCTCCCCAGTTCTGTATTTTCCCTTTTTATCAACTCTCTAAACAATGAGAATGCTCTATTAAAACGGTGACCATCGCTGTCTACTTAAAAGCCTTTCACAGTTCCACGCTGTACTTAGGATGATCTGCAGTCAAGCCCATCATGACATAACAAGGCCCCACATCCTGCGCTACTTTGCCTCCACACTTACTCTGCCCAAGGCCCACACATTGGCTTTCTTCACTTCCTGGCCAGCACCTTTCTACCTCAGGTCCTTTTGCTTAGAACATTTTCCTCTTGGCTCTTTGCATCCTTGGGAGGTCTCAGCTTAAATATCACCTCCTTCATGAGGTTTTCCCTGAACCTCCACTTCTTCATTCCTCTCTCGCGGTAACCCATTAGCTTCCTTCATACTGCTGTGCAATCTGTAATGTTTATTTGTAGATTATTTATCAGACTGGGAGCTCCACTGGGATTGGGACAGCTGTTTGTCAATGTTTGACATGATGCACAGTGCCCAGGAAACATGGTATGAGAAAGGGCGGGAGGAACAGCTGGGGGTTTGAGGAGGGAGACAGCTCATTTGTTTTCTGGTTTTTTTTTTTTAGACGGAGTCTCACCCCATGGCCCAGGCTGGAGTGTAGTGGCAAAACCTTGGCTCGCTGCAACCTCCACCTCCCAGGTTTAAGTGATTCTCCTGCCTCAGCCTTTCAAATAGCTGGGATTATAGGCATGCACCACCATGCCCGGCTAATTTTTGTATTTTTTTAGTAGAGATGGGGTTTCACCATGTTGGCCAGGCTGGTCTTGAACTCCTGACTTCAGGTGATCTGCCTGCCTTGGCCTCCCAAAATGCTGTGATTACAGGCATAAGCCACCACGCCTGGCCTGAAAGAGTTCATTTGAATTTGAAGACTCTCACAAGGCTCTATTTCTGCCAATTGCCGTGAGAAGGAAGAACTTTACATTGGTCGCCCCTGGAGAGGGGAAATGGCTCTAGCAGACAGGCAGTAAGAGCAAAGGCCTGGAGAGCCCAGGGAGATCCATAAATGCAGAGGGTGTAGGAGTGGGGGGCAGCAGGTGATGGGGATCTCAGCACAGAGAGGTGTGGCTACTGAGATAAGAGGTGAAGAACTAGCTAGAGAGCAAAGAGGAACAGGACCTGGGAAAGCAGCCCAACAGGAGGACACGGCTGAGGTTTTAACCACTATCCAGGAAGAAGAACAATCTGGATGGTTTGGCAGTTAGAGGAGGTAATAACACACTACCACTCTAGTGAAAGAAGAATGGAGATTAAGTTACAACTTACCATACTTTGGCCTAATTTTAAAACAGCACAAGGAACTCTTTAAAGGCTTCAAAGATCCCGAAGAAAAACCAATCCATTTGCATAACCAGATATAAGATTACATTAGAGACTAGAATATCTGGTTCTTGCCCACGAGAACATCCAGCTTGTCAGGTTAGTTCTTCCTTAAAATCAGAGCCAGATGCAAAGTCTGGATAGCCAAGCCAGAATGGGAATGGAGATTTCAAACAAAATAAATTACTTAAAAATTGAGGTAGGGCCAAGGGTATGGAGGCAGAGCACTTGAGCAATGATTTTCACTTATCCGTAGTATTTGGTTCCAGAGAAGGCAGGGAAGAAAAGTTCTATTTTAATTGTCTTCAGAGGGAAGCCTCATAATACGACATCACAGACATTGATCTATTTTTCTTGAATTTAGCTTCAAAGACCTGTTAAGGTTAAGTATTCTTGGAACTGGCAGTAGCTTGCAACACATATTGCAAGAAAGAAGCTGTGTGATCAACAGAGCAGGACAAGCTGAAGAATGTGACCACATTTCTGCATTAGAATTTCAAAGTCAAATTAAAGCAAGATGCTGGGTCCTAAATAATGCGTGTGGAGGCCAAGACAACGGCGCAACAGAACAGATAGTACAACCAAACACGTATTTTATTGCTCTATGCTGTTCCCAAGAACAGCCAGCTTGCATCAACTGGATGTTACCGCATGGACGACTATTGGGAGTTCATTACATATTCATCTTTAAAGATTTATAGAAGTCGTCATTTTAAGGGATCGTTATAAACTTCCTGGCAAGATTACTGAACCAGGGAGTTGGCTTAAAATTATAAAGAAGAATAAAACCAAGGACTTAAACAAAACCCAAGAACTAAAGCTCATCAAGTTACATATAAGGAAATAATGGTTGAAATTTTGCTTCTCAAAGAAGAGCTGCATTCTACTGATTTAACAATACTAGGATACTGGAGATTCTGTGTGGTAAGACTCTCCAGCAGCGTAGAAACTGATATTTAGAGGGCGTAAGTCCTTCAGTGAAGAAAAGGAGGAACCAAACAAAGGGGAGAAAAAGGCTGGATCCCAAAAAAGACACTCTTCTTAGATCCTCTTCTCTTCCAGCGGAGTTGCTATGGAAACAATCTTATCCTTGACTATCATTACAATCATGAAGCTTCTTAGGAAACACAGGCTTTGGGACAGTATTTAAAGGAGTGTGTATGGAGGGTGTGTTTGTTCTTTCACAGACAAGATTACTTTTAAATTGTAAAACTGACAAATTTATAATTCTGAGTTGTCACCACCTTACCTGAAGGAGCTTCCTGATGCATTCATGGTGGCTGTTCTTGGCTGCGAGGTGTAAGGCGCTGTGTCCTAAATTAATTTTTTTCAAATAATAAGAAAAAAAAGGCCACACTTTAAAAAATATTTTTCTTATCTGTGAGAAGACAGCTATAAGGAAATTAATTGTTCTCCAAATGGAACTGTGGGTTTTTTTTTTTTTTTGAGACAGGGTCTCACTCTGTCACCCAGGCTGGAGTACAGTGATGTGATCATGGCTCTTTGCAGCCTCAACCTCGTGGCCTAAAGTGATTCTCCCACCTCAACCTCCCAAGGAGCTGGACTACAGGTGCATGCCAACACACCTGGGTGATTTTTATATTTTTTGTAGAGATGAGGTTTTGCCATGTGGCCCAGGCTGGTCTCAAACTCCTGAGTTCAAGTGATTCTCCTGCCTTGGCCTCTCAAAGTGCTGGGATTACAGGTGTGAGCTACTGTGCCAGGGCTGGAACTCTTATTCTTGAGAGCAGGAGAATCGAGCATCCCCCATCCCACCTATTGGATGACATTCACAGGCTCCGACTGCTGTTCTCTCGGGGTGCAAAGCAGCTCCAGGCTAGACGCTGGCAGTGGACTCATGAAAATTCAGCTCAGCAGCTCTGCTTTCAGCTTCCATATGTTTGCCAAATGTTCTGTGTCCACAGATCCATGCTAGGCTACGCCCACCACAGGATGAGGAATCCAATGAAAGCAACCCACAAGCCAGTAGAATACATCAAAGATCCACACACTTCAGCCCCTACTCTTGACATCTCAGTTCCCTCTCCTCTCAGTGTACTCCAGTCCTGAATGGAAATTATCTGGAGTTTTCTGGTTTTCAAAGTTCTTATATACAAGAAGGGTGAGAGTTGTAAAATTCTCAACGAGACTTTTCTTGACTTTCTTATTTCAAATTCCAATTTCTCCCCAATTCTTCTATCCCCACTCCCTGCTTTATTTCTCTATACAGACACACACTTAAATAGTTAACTGCTTTCCCCCCGACGAGAATGTAAGCGCAGTGAGGACAGGAACCCCTGTTGATTCCCTGCTGTATCTCTAGTACCTACAACACTGCTGCTGCACAATAGTCTCTCAATACATTTCTGTCCATCTGAATTAGAGGGTATGCTAATTTCAAATGTCTGGATTGGCAGACCTGGGGAAAGGGTCAGAGCAGAGGACCTGACCACTGCCAGACAACCCAGCACACCTAGTAAACTCTTAATCCTGGATTTCCCAAGCTATTGGACCCAATATGACACCTGCAGATAATGCCCATACTTTAGGACATGCTTAAAGCACGTTCTCAACCTCTGCACCATTGATCATTTAAGCTGGGTAACTGCTGTGGGTGGTCATCCCATGCAGTACAGAATGTTAGGCTGGCCTCTACCCAGTAGAGGTCCAAATGTGATAATCAAACCGGTTCATCAGAACCACTGACTTGGAGGAATAATTTGTGTGTGTGTGAGACAGTCTCACTCCGAAGCCCAGGCTGGAGTGGAATAGCACAAGCATGGCTCACTGTAGCTGAAATCTCCTGAGCTCCAGTGATCCTCCTGCCTCAGACTCCCTAGTAGCTGAGACCACAGGTGCACGCCACTACACTTGGCTAAATTTTTGTAGAGATGGGGGTCTCGCTATGTTGCCCAAGCTAATCTCAAACTCCAGGCCTCAAGCAATCTTCCCGCCTCAGCCTCACAAAGTACAGGGATTACAGGCATGACCCACCACTCCCGGACAACAATTTCTTTATATGGTGGCCCAGGCCCCAAAGACCTTTTTTTTGAGAGAGAGTCTCACTCTGTTGCCCAGGCTGGAGTGCAGTGGCACGATCTAGGCTCCTCTGCCTCCCAGGTTCAAGCGATCCTCCTGTCTCAGTCTCCTAGGTAGCTGGGATTACAGGTGTATGCCACCACGCCCAGCTAATTTTTGTATTTTCAGTAGAGATGGGGTTTCACTATGTTGGCCAGGCTGGTCTCGAACTCCTGATCTCAGGTGATCCACCCACCTCAGTCTCCCAAAGTGCTGGGATTACAGGCATGAGCCTCCACACCTGGCCTCATTTCTTTTCTAAGTCAGTCTTTACTTTGTAACACTGACCAGAAATCCACTAATTAGAGAACCATATAGCTAGGAAACACTGTATTTAAAAATTAGTGGGCCACAGGGCTATGGTTAATGCACAAAAATGTGTGAAGTCAAAGGATCAGATTCCTTCTATTTTGAGTTCAGCTGTATGGAGAGATTTCTAGGGTAGGTTTGAGAGAGAGTTGTTTCATCAGCATCAGATACTGAGAGACAGGAATCCCTCTGTCCTTTCCCAAAAGGAAGAGGATGAACAAAATTTAAAAATGAAGGAAAAGAGATTCTCGGAAGTAAGAAGACAGATTTTCTCTTCCTTTTCTTCCTGTTATTATATGAGATCCCTCCTTCCAGGGTGTATGAAGCGTAACTGTGTAAGTTTAGTTACATGATGCATTAAATAGGCTTTGGTGGAGTAGCTTGGCCCTCCGACCACCACTTACACCAAATGAGCTTTTGGAACACGTCCTGATTGTAAGCTGGAGACTGTTTATGCTGTGCATGTGATGCATTAACTTGTCCCTGCTGTGGACAAAAGCTGCTCTGCGTAAGTAGCACCCACTGGAAAAAGACACAGCTCTCCAAAGACGAGATGGTTGGGAGATGTAAACAACTTATCATAAAATAACAAGTTTTCTTTTACTTTGAGTAAGTTTTCTAGTCAGAACTGGAATAAGTGCCAGGTTTCTATAGAAGCAAAAATGCTTTTATTTCCTAGCCCTGTGATATTTTCCTAACAAGCGACACTAAAGTATTTTTCACTAAAAATAGTATCAAAATCCGATGATGTGTCATTCCCTTAACACTATTACACTGAAGTGAGATGTCTCTCATTGCTAATATTAACACAAAATTCTCTTTCCAAATGCAAAATTTTCTGGACAACATATTATGTTAGTGACAGAATCCAACCCTGATGAGACAATGCATCTCTGGCTGCCATATTTCTGTGGATCTGTCTCGAGTATCAGGAAGCAATTTCCCTACAGGCAAATAACAAGGGCAGTTCTAATTTAAGTGCATTCCAGCAGAATTCTGCCTGCAAATAAAAGACTAATGATATTTATAAATCAAGAGTCTTGGACTATAAACAGGTAGTCTAAGAATCCTGTTACTTCAAGGCTGTCTGAGTAGAAGAGCCCAGTTGCTCTGGCCATAGGGCACCTTTCCCTAAAACTACCTCAGACCATGAGCATGTATTCAATTCTTAAGACAACTGGAAAAAAGAGGAAGAATTAAGTAATATCACAGAGGAATCATCAATGGGCCTATGAAGATACTTTTCAAGTATATGTGAAAAATGTTAAAATCAGTGAAATCATAGGATACAAAGATATGGCTAACAAACACCAAAAGGTAAATGTTTCTTAAATAGTCAGAAATAAACTATTTCTGGCTGGGCACGGTCTGTAATCTCAACACTTTGGGAGGCAGAAGTGGGTGGATCATGAGGTCAAGAGTTCGAGACCAGCCTGGCCAACACAGTGAAACCCTGTCTCTACTAAAAATTAAAAAAAATTAAAATAGCTGGGCATGGTGGTGCACACCTGTAATCTCAGCTACTAGGTAGGCTGAGACAGGAGGTGGAGGTTGCATTGAGCTGAGATTGTACTACTGCAGTGCAGCCTGGGGACAGAGCAAGACTCTTTTTCAAGAAAAACAAAAAAACAAAACTGTTTCTTAAATAGTTTCAGATCATAATACAGAAACATTTTAAAATAAAGATCATTAAATGACCCTCAACTGATAAGTTTTAAAATATTTTCTTAAAAACCAGAGTTTCAGAATGTAGAATATGTTTAAATAACAAAGTATAAATTTATTTTTTAATTTACAATTTTAACTATTTAAACACATTACTTTTAGAAATCCTCATCTTCACATCAGCTTCTATCAATGAAGCACAAGTCCATTCACCTTGTCGTAGTTCCAGCAGAGAGAAAATCTGATTGTAAAATATTTGTTTTTAAGAACCATTCTTACCAATATGAAATTATCCCTTAGGTTCTCCTTATTTTAAAAGTACAATGCAGATCTGAGGCCAGGCGTGGTGGCTCACACCTATAATCCCAGCACTTTGGGAGACCGAGGCAGGTGGATCTCAGCCCAGGAACTCCAAGACTAGCCTGTGGAACATAGCAAAACCCCGTCTGTACAAAAACATACATAATTAGCTGGGTGTGGTGGCGTATGCCTGTAGTCCCAGCTATTTAGGAGGCTGAGAGGTGGGAAGATCACTTGAGCTCCAGACTGGGGGACACAGCAAAACTCTGTGTCAGAAGAAAAAAAAGACATGCATTGTGTTTTACATAGACACAAAAGATGCTTTTGGGTGTATTAAATTTTATTTTATTCTAAAAATAGAGACAGAGTTTTGCATGTTGCTCAGACTAGTCTTGAACTCCTGGGTTCCAGTGATCCTCCTGCCTCAGCCTCTCAAAATGTTGGGATTACAGGCATGAGCCACCGTGCCTGGCCTATGAGTATCATTGGAAATATTCTCATGGCCAGATAGGTATGGCGGCTCACACCTGTAATCCCAGCACTTTGGGAGGCTGAGGTGGGTGGATCGCTTGAGCCCAGAAGTTTGAGACCAGCCTGGGCAACATGGTGAAACCCTATCTCTGCTAAAATTACAAAAATTAGTGGGGTGTGGTGGCGCATGCCTGTAATCCCAGCTGCTCAGGAGGCTGAGGTGGGAGAATCACTCGAACCCTGGAGGCGGAGGTTGCAGTGAGCTGAGATCGCGCCACTGCACTCCAGCCTGGGTGACAGAGTGAGACTCTGTTTCAAAAAAAAAAAAGATACTGAAATATTCTCATGGCCAAGTTATGCTGATCATAATATATGGTTGGCCCTTTTGACCTCTCCACACACGAGTTAATAGCAAATATATTATCACAAATCATGAATTTATTGCAGTTATATTTGAGAACACATATTCTAAAGTGCCTGAGTTTTAGGGT